AGGGGAAGAGGAAGTGATGGAGGAGAAGAGTGGGGAGCTGGATGGAGAGGGCGGGGCGGGAGGATGCAGAGAGGGAGCCGGCTCGGATCGTGCGCCAGTGGCAGGAGGAAAAGTGGGGCGGGAGGAAGGGTTCAAGGGAGGTGACCGTGAGGGAAGGAAAGGTGAGAGGCAGAGGGTGAAAAGCCAGGAGGCAGAAGCGAAGCCAAGTAAAGGGCAGGGTCTCACTCAGAGCCCTCTGTGGTAGGAGGTCAGTGGCAGAGGACTGGGATCGGGGCCAGCACCCACCCTAAATGGTAGTATCACCTTGGGCCAGTCATACCCTCTGGCCTCCGATTTCTTCTCTACAGAATAAGGTTGGCCTCAGTGACTGCTCACTGGAAGTTCAGCTCCGACATTCCATGGCTACATATGTGAGGGAACCAGGGAAAGTGGAAAAGCAGAACTCCACAGGATCCAGCGAGGCCACTAGGTCTAGCTCCTGCCCCAGTCTGACACCGTGACAAGGTCACCCTGGGCTGGGAGTTCAGGCCAAGTCAGTGCTCTGTGCAATGCAGGCAGCACTGAGCCCAGCTCCTGTCCCCATCCTAAACACCTCCTCTTCGGGCCCCCTGTCCCCTCAGCTCACCCCATGACCCAGGCTAGACCAAGACACTGCTCTTTCAAGCCAGTCCACTTCCGGGGACCCTGAAATTGAACCCTATGTCCTCCAAGCCACAACCTCCAGTGTGTGTGCTATCCCCAGCAAAGAGCCCATCTATCTCAGTAAGGTACCTCTCCTATGTAGGAAACACAGATATCTGGAGCTCCCAGGGTCAGGCCAAGATTCTGAGTCAGGCAGGTACCTACCACCCAGCCCACTCTCCCTAGAGAGTTCCTATTTTTCCAGGGACCTGGCCCCTGGACACCAGAACTTTATGGAACATAGTATATGTGCTCATGTAGCTCACCAAAACCTTACACACTGTCTCTCAAATTCACGCCAATACTTAGTCACTGAAACCACCTCGGTTATGCACAATCTGAGTCACACGAACACCCTCATTAAACACACTCTGGCCTGTAATCCCGTGCCTTTGGGAAGCTGAGGTGAGTGGATTGCCTGAGCCCGCGGGTTCGAGACCCGCCTGGGCAGCGAGACCTCATCTCTACAATAAATCAAAAAATCAGCCGGGCGTGGTAGCGCATGCCTGTAATTCCGGCTACTTGGAAGGCTGAGGCGGAAGGATCGCCGGAGCCCAGCAGGTCGAGGCTGCGGTGGCCGGGAGCGGCCACTGCACTCCAGTCTGGGCGACAGAGCGAGACCCCAACTCAAAAAAAAAAAAAAAACAACACTCTGTCTCTCACACATCCCCTTTCCTCCCCGCCCACACTTTTAGTTACATACTCACTCAAGCATAGCTATCCATTCACTCACTTCCTGGAGAAACTCTGAAATAAAAAGGCAACCTCTTTAGATAAATAATCAGGCAAATGTTCCACCCTTGCTGGCAAGCCCACTACCCCACTCACCCACGCTGCCAACTATACACACACACGTTCACACACTTACATATGTGCATAAAATTATGCCCCTTCTGAAGGAAAAAGGAAGACAGCCAGGCGTGGTGACTCACGCCTGTAATCCCAGCACTTTGGGAGGCGGAGGCAAGAGGATTGTCTGAGCCCACGGGTTTGAGACCAGCCTAGGCAACATGGCAAGACCTTGTCTCTACAATAAATTAAAAAATGAGCCGGACGTGGTGGCACACACCTGTCGTTCCGGCTACTTGGAAGACTGAAGTGGAAGGACCACCTGAGCCCAGCAGGTCGAGGCTGCGGTGGCCGTGAGCGTGCCACTGCACTCCAGCCTGGGTGGCAGAGTGAGACTCTGACTCAAAAAAAAAAAGAAAGAAAGAAAAAGGAAGAACCATATAGGGTCAAATGCAAAAGAAGGGGAGGCTTAAAAAAAAATCTCAGGAAGAGTGATTCATCGGTTTGGAAACTGTAATGGCCAGCTGGATAGACCCAGGCAGACACAGAGGATGCCCGCCAGTGAGAAATAGGGCAGGAGGCAGACACAAAGAAGTGGGAAGCTGGAGCCTCTGCTCCACTCTCGTTCCTTTGAGCTTTATTAGTCAAGATCTTTATCAGTCTTATAACAGAAAGTTTGGAGGCTTTACTCCCAATTTACAGATGGAATAATTGAGTGGGAGAAAAAGAGTCTTAGTACCCTCGATCCCTGAAAGAGGCAGCTGAATAACCCAGGAATCCTAGCTCCCCAGCCACACTCCTCTGCTGGCCCTCACACAAGCCCCTCCCCACCAATGAGGGCCCTAGGGAGGAAAGGCGGAAAGGAGACTGGAGGCAAATGCTAGGAGTGGATGGGGACCTACTGTCTAGACAGCCTGGGCCCTGAGCTGTGTGGCTTTCTGGGTCCTCCCCTACTTAGTCCACTCCCAGATCTTTCATGTGGTCTGGCGCTGTGGTCCCAGGGTGGGGCAGCCTAGACCCAGATTGGGATTCCTCCTCATTTCCCTGGCCTTCTCCCTGGCTCCACCCCTTGCTCTGTAGAGAAGAGGACAGCATGGGATGTGCCAAGATGCCCCGGTACAGGGGGTGGAATGAGGACCTTCCTGGCTCCCTCTCTTCATGCTCTCATGTTCATAGCTCTGTGCTAAAGGTTGGCATCTACTTTCTGCCCGCCTCCCCCCTCCCCTGGCCCAGGCATATTCCCGCTAGCAGAGCCTGTCACTGCCATCTCTGCTTGTCATGAAGTGTGTCTCTCCAAGTTGCCTATGGCTGGGCACAGTGCCCAGAATGATGCAGCTAAGGCCAGAGCAGGCTCCTTGTTATTCCCAGGGTAGTCTTGTTTTCCAAAGAAGAGGGTCCCCTCTACAAAGTCAGATGAGGGGAACAAAGCAGGGAAAAGGATCCTCTTGTACATATACCCACAGATAGGCATATGGCCAAAGAGTTCTCATATACACATAGGAGTACACATACAGACATTTTAGTACCATCAGTCCTGAGTTCACCCTGCCGCCCACTTGAACACACTGAGCCATAAACACAAGGAAAGACACAAACACAGAGATACACACAAGCCCAGAGTCACAAACATATCCGGAGATACATAAACACTCCAGTTACACAGACACACAGAGATAGCACATGCACCCCCGAGCCACCCAGTTTCCAGGGAAACGCACTCCCAAGAATGTCCGGAGTGGGGCCAGGCAGGGCTGGGCTTGGTGCCTTGCTCCAGAGATGAGACAAGGAAACCCTCAGCTCCTGGAGCCCAGGGGAGGGGGGTGGCTGGGGAGAAGAACACCCATTCCTTTGTGCCTCTGCCTACCCCTCCACGGGCTGCCAAGCTTCTGAGACAGGCGAGCCCAGACAAGAAGGCTATGGAGGTGGGAGGAAGAAAAAGGCAAGGGGGTTTAGGGTCAGAAGAGAGTAGGAGGGTACATACTTGGCAGGGTGGGCTTCTGGCTGGAGAAGGGGGGGTCACTGGGGCCATAGGAAATGCTTCAGAATCCCATCTGGGCTCCAGGCCCTCCCTCTTCTTTGGGAGGATGCACTGGGAAGACTGGACAGCAAGGGCATACAGAATCCTGGTTCCTCCACCCCGCTCACAGCCTGCAGGGTGACAGTGTGCTTACCTGGGAATGTGATGGGTTGGGGACTGGGGTGGTAAAGGCTGGGCTTTCTTTGAACTTTGCCCTGCCCCTCCTTGCTGCTCTATTGTCTCACCTCCATACTCCCATATCTTGGAGAAGATGCTGTCTCTGAGATTGAACAAGATGGTCAGGAACCAGATGCCATCATAGCCAAGGCCCCAGTTACGGGGGTTCCTCCTCTCATCCAAAGTCAGAGATCTGGAAGCCCTGGAGAGGGCAAGGGCCTGCCTGCTGCTGCTGGTGGACGGACCTGCCTCTCTGAAGTCGGTTGTCCGTGCCCTGGCCCCCACCCAAGGGTAGGAAGAAAAGATGGGGGCAAGATCGGGTCTCCTGGGCCAGCTGTGAAGGGAGGGATATTGAAAGCCCCCAGGGGGCGTGGCCAGAAGAGAGGGAGACAGAGGAGTGAGGGGGATTTCCACTTTGAAGGGGTTTCTAGCCAGTTAGAGCCCTGGAAAATGATGCAGGGCCATCAGTCCTCCTGATCAGAGCCAGGCTTAGCCCAAAGCTCTCATGGTCCTGTTAACTTCACACCCAAATCTGCTTTTCTCATTCACCTAATCTGATGATTCGCTATATGAATTCATGCCCAGAACTCTGTTTCCAGGGTGAGCACTCCTGGCCCATCAAAGTGCCACCTGGGCCAACCCCTTAGCTACCTGGTAACCATAGTAGTGCAGGGCCCAGTTTTTTTTTGTTTGTTTGTTTTTTGAGTTGGAGTCTCACTCTGTCGCCCAGACTGGAGTGCAGTGGCTGCTCCCGGCCACTGCAGCCTCGACCTGCTGGGCTCCGGCGATCCTTCTGCCTCAGCCTTCCAAGTAGCCGGAACTACAGGTACGCGCTACCGCACCCGGCTAATTCTTGATTTATTGTAGAGACAAGGTCTTGCCAAGTTGCCCAGGCGGGTCTTGAACCTGCAGGCTCAGGCAATCCACTCGCCTCAGCCTCCCAAAGTGCTGGGATTATAGGCTAAGCCATGGAGCCTCTCCAGGGTCCAGTTTTTAGAACTGCCTTACACAACAGAATGGGCCATTGCTTTGGGTCATAGTCATGATCCAAAGACTACTGTCACATAGTCTTGTAACAGGAGGAGGCATGTCCTCAGATTTTGCCACCAGATTTTACCCTTGCCCCATCCCCATCTGGAGGTATTGTCCTCCTCTCCAGCTTCTCAAAACAACTCCCTCTTGGCATCATGGAACAATGCCACTGATACCTCTCACTGCTGCTCCAATTACTCTTCCCCAACAATCCCCACTATGCCCCAGGCCCTCTGATAGCAGGAATCAGAACCTCTTCTCGCCTCATAATGTAGGGAAGCAGATTGGGAGTGACCAGAGAAGAAAAGCAGGTTGAAGACCAGCCTGGATGCTGGAGGGTTTTGGGATACTGTTTTGTCACATTCAGATGCACCTGAGCACTCCATCCTCAGTACAGGCCACTCAGGCAGTTACCATGGCAACTACCACAGCAGACTTCCTCAGCGCCTAACACACACAAGCCTTGAAACAGAAGCCCCCTCTGTTTGGAGGTGTCAAACCTTACCCTGAGTGAGCCGAGTGGGCTGCCGGACAGGGAGCCCATCAATAGTGCAGGCATTGCCACAAGGGTAGAGGGTGAGAGTGCCCCGCAGGTTCTCAATGTAGCAGTGCTCTGGAGCCAGGCCTGGACCCTGCAGAGAGATGTCTCTGGCCGCAGAGCCAATCACCGTCCTCCCTGGAGACAGGAGGCAAACTGAGTCAGAGGGGTGGTCTGGGCTGAAAAGGCAGGGACAGGGCAAGGAGGGCCACAGTGGACAGACATTTCCACATCCTACTGCAGCAGGGAGAATCTCTGCTCACCACAGCCCACCCCTACTGGGCCCCTTAGCATGGTCTGGAGAGTGAGTAATAGAAACTCTTCCCTAGCAGAGAAAACTGCCTGAGGATGGAAAGACCCAGCAACAGAAAGACAAAGAGGGCATGATAGGACCCAGACTCCATGGAGCAGAGTAGAGACGAGGACCTCTTTTCTGCACTTTCCCTTGCTCCCCCACCTGCCTCTCCCTGTGTCCTTTTATCTTTCTCCCCTTTATCCTACTTCCTCTTCTTCTAAGTCTTCCTTTCTCCTTCTCTCCCTCCCCTCTGCCACCTGCAACCTCTCCCCTCCCTCACTCCCTCCCTCTTCAGTGCAGCCTCTCCCCTAACTGCAGCAGGAATAGCCCCTCCCCCTGGCAGAGCCCCTGGGACTGGTATTTGGAGAATGTGGGGAATGTAGTATCACCCAGGCAACAAGTGCAGCCAGGAGAGGAGAGAGGGAGGACTGAAGCTGAAAGGTGAAGGGGACCATGCCAAGGCCTTATCTTGGGCGATCTTGTCCCGACTCCCATCTCTCATTCTCCACCTAGGGTACATTCTCCATGCCAGACATTGCCCTGGAACGGGGCCCCCTTTCTTCTGGGAAACACCAGTCGCTAAGAGCAATGTGCTCTCCTGTTTCTCTCAGTGCTCTCTTCATTTCTAAACTGATCTTTAATCCCAGCCATGGAGCCAGATTATCTACCGAAGAAGACAGGCAGTCTGGGGAGGCAGACACAAGGGAAGCAAGCTGGTGGGGTGGGGAGGTGAGCCCTGCCAGCAGACAGCAGAAGGGCCCAACACACAGGCAAGAATCCAGGCCCCCCAGGCAGAAATGCCTCTAAGGATGGAGGGGTGGAGAGTGGGAAGCCCTGTCCACACTTACCTTCCTCCAGCGGCAGGAGGGTGATGGCCGTGCTGAGTCGCCCGCTGCCCAGGCTCACCAGATGGGGTTTGTCCGTTTGTACTTTCAGCCCTTTGCCTGTCTCGATCAGGTCCAAGGGTCCTTTCTGCAGGTAGTGAGGGTGAAGGATGAGCATCATTAGAGGCTCCAGGTCAGCACCTTACCACACTGGTCCCAGTCACACCAGCACTCTCTCTAGCTCTTGCCCCTTTCCAAAGGGCTCTGAGGGTGCTGAAAGGCTTAGCACAAAATCTTACCCAGAGCATTACTGCACTAAATTGTAATGAGATCTGAATCTAGGCCACTAACTCGTCCCACGTCCCACTGGATTTATCTCGAGTCTTGGCTTTAACTGCCCTTTTGTCTATTAAAACAGAAACGAGAAGGGTGGGAGGTGTGGGGATGGCATTGGGTAAGCAGCAGGGGGTCCTGCAGAGAAGCCCCTCCCTGCAGACTTGTCCCCGGTTTGGGTCCACTTGGCCATTGCTTGCCACTGCTAGACTGAATTACAGGGGCGGGTAGAGGCATGGATCAAGGAGAGTGATACAGCCCAGGGTCAACCCATAAACTGCTTTCTGACTTTCAAAGAGTAGTTTCTGGGTGAACCAATTAACCTGATTCAGATAAAGACTGAGCTGTTAATAGGCTTGGGACCTGGGGAAGGGCAGAGAGGAACAGAACTGCTGCTTTCAGCCTTGCGCTGGGACCACAAGGGGGCAGAAGAGCTGAGCCCATCCTCATCAACAGCCCTCGTGCCCCTCGGCCTTGGCCCCCCACTCACCTGCGCCACAGCCTGGGTCTTGCATCCAGGGCCTACCTGGTTCCTGTTGAGAGCGTCCATGGTCCTAGGACTCCAGAGCTCCTGGGGACAGAGCAGAAAGCAGGTGAGGTGGGAGGCCAGGGCAGAAGAGGGAAAGAAGTAGGCTCTGTGGCAGGTTTCTCAGGGATGGGGCAGCTCCAGCCACCATCGTTCCCAGCACGCTCATGCTGAAGAAAGTGGAGGCAGCTAAAGAGTTTGGGTGGGGCCTGGAGAGGCAGTGCCAGGACTCCAGCTACAGAATAGGTAATACACCTATTCTGCCCCCTGCCCCTTGCCGCCCTAAGAACAAATAACCCTGTATAGGGCCCAACTGTACTTCTGTGCTTTCTTGCTACTCAGTACCAGCTTGGCAGCTGAAGATAGATTCTCAGCCATGGAGAGCCTTAAGCAGGGTTGGGAAAAGTTACCTGAGTGGGAGAAGCAGAATCCAGGGAAGACTCTCCAAGGGCCCTCAGATGGGTGGCAGGGCTAAACCAGGCTCTCCCTTCCCCAACCTTTCCTTCTCCTCTCTTTGGGGGGGGAGGGGAATATGTCCAGTAAGATCGTTTCTTAAAGGAGACAGAGGAAAATCTCAGCCATTTCTGCCATTTCCATATGTCTCAATTCCTATACCTTTTCTTCCCCAGAAAGCAACCTTACCCCAATACAATCAGCTTAACAGAGAGGAAAAAAAAAAAAAAAAAAAAGACGAGGTGCAGTAGCTCACACCTGTAATCCCAGCACTTTGGGAGACAGAGGCAAGAGGATTGCCTGAGGCCAAAGGTTCAAGACCAGCCTGGGCAACTTGATGAGCTTTTGTCTCCAAAATAAGTAAAAAAAAAAAAATTAGCCAAGTGTGGTGGCGCATGCCTAGTTCTAGCTACTTGGAAAGGTGAGGTAAAAGGATCACCTAAGCCCAGCAGGTCAAGGATGTGGTAGCCGTGAGTGTGCCACTGCACTCCAGCCTGGGTGACAGAGTGAAACTAACAAAAAACCCCACAAAAATCAAAACCAGCGGTAACTAATACTGGGAATACGGGGTTCTTAACTCTTGGTTCTTAATTGGCTTCGTGCTATAGGAAGCTTAGGCCCTTAGAACCGAGGGGTAAGAGAGATTCCAGAGTCAGGATTTGAATTCCCCTTCCACTACCCATCCCTCTATATTTTTGGTCCCTATGAAATGTGAGGAAGGAGCTGGGCTCGATGGCTCAGCCTGTAATCCTGTGCCTTTGGGAGGCTGAGGTGAGTGGATTGCCTGAGCCCGTGGGTTCGAGACCTGCCTGGGCAACTTGGCGAGACCTCATCTCTACAACAAATCAAAATGAGCCGGGTGTCGTAGCGCGTGCCTGTAGGTCCTGCTACTTGGAAGGCTGAGGCGAAGGATCACCGGAGCCCAGCAGGTCGAGGCTGTGGTGGCTGGGAGCGGCCACTGCACTCCAGTCTGGGTGACAGAGTGAGACTCCAACTCAAAAAAAAAAAAAAAAAAAGAAATGTGAGCAAGGACCTCTGTGTGCTAATGTGTGCCCACATACCCACGCCTTGGCCAACTAGCTAAGGTGTGAAACTTCCATTAGCTGCTGAAATGTTACTGGAGAAAGCCGAGAAGAGTGGCTGAAAGGGGAAGGAGGCAGGCCCAGGAAAGCAGGGTTTCCCTCTACTTTCTCTTCCAGTCATCTACCAGGTGACTTGGAGAGGAAGTTGGGGGCAGGACGCAGCATTCCAACGAGTGTCTGACCCTGGCAGTGGGTCCCAAGGGCCTCAGCCATGGAGTTACTAAATTTACCCTCCCAGCTTCCACCCTTCCGGACCTAGACTGCATCATCTCCGTCACCATTTCCACCCAAGCTGGCGGAAGAGAGGCCGGAACACAGCCTGGGGCCCACCCTAAGACTGCCTGGGAAGAGGAGAGAAAAAAGGCCGTTAGTCTACACCAAGCCTCAAGCTGGCCTGGCACCCTCCCCAGGAGCCCTGGCCATGAGGAAGAATTTCCAAGGACAGAGATTGCTGTACTGCTTCCTTAGACGCAGGGAAATCCCTCAGCATGTTCTGAGGGAGGAGAGGCAAGAGAGTAGGTAGGGAATGGGGAGTTTATGTAAAAGAGGGAGTGAGAAAAACGACATCATAAATAATGGTGAAGGAAAAGCATCACCTTTAGTGGAAAGAGCTTTAGATTGGGATACAAAAGGCTTGAATTCTACCCTGACCTTTAATTTATTTGTTTGTTTATTTATTTATTTATTGAGTTGGAGTCTCACTTTGTTGCCCAGGCTGGAGTGCATTGGCACGATCATGGCTACTGCAGCCTTGACCTGCTGGTCTCTGGTGATCCTTCTGTCCCAGCCTTACAAGTCGCTGGTACTACAGGTACATGCCACTATACCTAGCTAATTTTTGGATTTATTGTTGAGATGAGGTCTTGTCAAGTTACCCAAGCTGGTCTCAAACCTTTAGGCTCAGACAGTCCTCTTGTCTCCACCTCCCAAAGTGCTAGGATTTTTTTTTTTTTTTGAGTCAGAGTCTCACTCTGTTGCCCAGACTGGAGTGCAGTGGCATGCTCCTGGCCACCGCAGCCTCAACCTGCTGGCCTCCGGTGATCCTTCCGCCTCAGTCTTCCAAGTAGCTGGAACTACAGGTGCACGCTACCACGCCTGGTTAATTTTTGATTTATTGTAGAGACGAGGTCTTGACAATTTCCCCGGGTGGGTCTCGAACCCACGGGCTCAGGCAATCCACTAACCTTGGCCTCCCAAAGGGCTGGGATTACAGGTTGAGCCACCAGCCAAAGTGCTAGGATTATAAGCGTGAGCCACCGTGCACAGCGACCCTGACTTTATTTATATATTAGCTGTAAGATCTTGGACAAATTATTTGACTTCTCTGCTTGTCATTCTTCTATAAAACTGGAATAATGATTTAAAAAAAAAGATAGCTGGGTGTGGTGGCTCACACCTGTAATCTCAGCACTTTGGGGGACTGAGGCAAGAGGATTGCCTGAGTCCAGGGATTCAAGACCTGCTTGGGCAACTTGGCAAAACCTCATCTCTACAACCAAACAAAAAATTAGCTGGTGGTGGTGGCCCGCGCCTGTAGTCCCAGCTACTTGCAAGGCTGAGACAGAAGGATCACCTGAGCACAGCAGGTCAAGGCTGCAGAGGCTGTGAACATACCAGTGCACTCCAGCCTGGGTGAAAGAGTGAGACTCCAACTAAAAAAAAAAAAGTCTGGATCAGTGCTTGTCTGGGGTTGGGGGTGGAAAGGGGAGTGACTTTATTTATTTATTTATTTATTTATTTTTGAGTTGGAGTCTCGCTCTGTCACCCAGACTG